TAACAATGAAGTGGTCAGAAGAGTTGTTCATAAGTTTTATGACAAGAATGAATATTCAACAAGTGCTAAAATATTAGTGATAGTGCGAGAAAAAGTAAATTACCAAGGATTGAAATCATCGGTGAAAATAATTTTAAAACAATTTAATTTTAAGTATACAATAGAAATGAAACGAAGGTCGTTAATTCTGAATATGGAACGAACGGATAATGAAGGAATAGTTGCGCGCGTTCAAATTCTTAAAAAAATAAATGAGTTTCATAGAAACAACGATACTCGGTAGATAGTCTACTTAGGTGAAATCAGGGTTCACGTATTTGACAAAATAGTGAAAATACGGGAAGTTTAAAAGTACCAACGAGAAAAGGCATTCATTCGCTTCATCATTTGCCAGGCCGGATCTCCTTCATATGAACTCATCAATGAATTAAAACTTATATTTCGATGCAATTCAAGTAATAAAGATTACCATAACCAGTTGAATGTGAAATTTTTGAAGATTGGTCTTTGCAAACGTTACGTCACTTAGAAAAGTCAAGCATTTATGTAATTAATAACGCATCGTACCTGCACTCTTTAGTTGAAAACTATTCAAAATCCAATGGTAAAAAGGCAGATGTTCAACAGTATAGTAACGAGAAAAAAATGTAAAATTTTCTTTTGTATAAACCCTTGATGAATTAAGGGCAAAAGTGAAACGCACAATGTTGCGTAGAAAAAAGTATAAACTTGATGAACTAACATTCTAAATTGATCACAAAGTAGTAAGGTGTTACTCCTCACCTTTGTCAATATAAAACCAAAAAAATCTCATTTGGGCACAAGTTAAAGGCAGAATGATCGAAAAAAATTATACTTTCAAAATTAAAGATGTCGAGGTTTTTGTGAATAAAGAATCGATGCAGTAACTCCAGATCATTGGGACTAATGTATAGAGAACATTACGGTAAAATTCAAAAGGATTTCGTTAAGGTGGGACTAAGGGATGAGATATTAGAACCAATAATATTGACTTTTAATTCTGATGAATGTAGTTCAGGTGAAGATGAAGACGACGATGAGGACTAAATTATTCCATTTGGAAATATAATTTTTTTTGTTAGTATTTCAATAATAGTTCTAAGTCTTATAAGCTATTTTGTTTTTTAATATATAATGTACATACATATACGTATAATTGTATAAAAAATATAAAAAAATTTTACCAGATGTATGACAGCCATCCGCCTAGTTCACTGGCCGTACTTAATTTTTTTTATAGTCTGCCCTAGTATACTTTCATAGAAGTGACATTGATAAAACATTTTTTCAACAGAATTAATGTCTTTTTTCGGTGATGATGTTAATGTTTTATTCTATAGGTATAAAATATGTAGTAGCTTAACGCCTTAAAGATAAATATCCTTTAATTTTTATTTGGTATTTTATGAAACATCGATTATAGCTGTCAATATAAGATATAACTGTTACCAGTCATTTTAAAGAATATAATATAGATATAAGTAGTATTTATGCTTTATAGTTTATACAATAAATTGCAAAAAATCTAAATAAACTGAAAATTATATGTGCTTAATTAGGTGTCAAGGTATGATATTTTTAAAGTTGTTAGAGTAGCTACTGCATTTTAGATTAGTAACCAACAGTTAAAAAATAGTTCAAACAATTTGGAAAATGTTTTCAGTTCTATATTACTATTTATATTATGTTAAAAAAGCTCAATCCAAGTATATCGGTTTAAAATACTTATACAAAACTTTATAATTTATTATAGATTTGGCAATTATGTGCGAAATTCTCATAGAATTGTCTTATTTATTTAATTAACTTCAGAGTGATAGAATTACATTATTAGAAGCTGATTAATTTATTAAAAGTACTATTAGTGTTGGAATCGTTCAAAACTAAGGATAAAAACATATTTCGATAAAAACGATTTTCGAAATAACCACTTTAACCAATAACCAAAAATTAAGTTGTATTAACTCAAATTAGTTAATAACTAGTTTATGTAAAACTTCACATTTTAATTTACCTAACAGCAATAGAATGACATAGAAATGACACGATATTCAAATTTTAAACAAAAATACATGGCCAGGAGTTAAAGAAATAAAATATGAGTAGTAGATTTTTATTATAAATCTGATTTAATTTGAGAAATAAAAAAGTTTTTTCATACAAACAAAATTGTATTAATGAAGATATTAAAGAATTAAATATCTTTTTATATCTATGGTTTCATATTTGGTCTTTTTTCCGCCCATTATCAAAATGTTATCACTTATCAGTAAATACCGAATAATGTTTATCCATGATCAAAATTCCCGCCAATTTGTTCAATGTATTATCATAATAAAATTAATTGTTTTAATGTATTCTATATTTTATATTCTTTATATTTTAATTTTCAGTATTTGGTATTTTCAAACTGAGTAATTTTGTATTTTAATATTGCGTATTAACGGGGACCAGTATCTTTTAAATTTTAACATGCAAATATGGCTCCTGCGAATACAGGCCGTTTTGTTAAACCCTTAGAGAAGTCATTTTTCAAAGTATGTATATAACTATGGATCTTACAAGTCGTGTATAATATGAATTTAATTTTGATATTTTTTTATTAAACCAATTCAAAGAAGATTCCAATGATGTTCGGTTGAAGCAATCCATAGAAAATGATTTGATTGACAATAAATATGGTTTTGTTCGCGTTAAAGATTACCAAGAGCATACTGGTTATCTCATCAACATGCATAGCGTAAATAATATTTGTATTAAAAGCATAATATTCTTTGTTATAGGTTGTTATTAGTGATAATTAATAATATTTTTTGTAGACGGAAATCGTTGATGAAGATAAACGTTTGGTAGCTGCTGTTGATTATTATTTTATCAAAGATGATGGATCTCGATTTAGAGTGACGCAACCATTTCAACCATATTTCTATCTTTTAGCTAAAAAAGAATATGTTCAAGAAGTTGTTGCTTATATAAGTAAAAAGTTTGCCGGTAGTTTTACAAGTATTGACACTGTCATGAAAGAAGACCTAGACTTGGTAATTATTGGATGAATGTATTTATTCTAGTTCATAGCCATTTAATTTTATTGATCATTTATAATATTATATTTTTAGCCAAATCATCTAATAGGTTTACAACAAAGATATATAAAAATTTCATTTGCAACAGTTACTGAAATGAATAAAATGCGTCAAGCTATAATGCCAGCAGTACGTAAAAATCGAATGGCACTAAAAAATAATTCTTATTACACAGAAATGTTGACAGAATCTTTAGCCAATTTATCTGAAGTAGCCTCATCAAAAAAGCAAGTTGATCACATGGAAAATATAATTGATATCAGGTATATATCAAATTATTTTATACTTATATTTATATGTAACAGTTGATATAATAGGTACTAAGAATTTACTATTTTACTTAACATTCAAATTTTAAATACTTTTTATACTTAACTTACTAATTACTAATTATATACTTACGATATTTTTTTTTGTTACTTAAATATTTTATTATTTTTCAATTGCCATAAGAAAAGCTTATGAGAAACATTATATTAAATTAAAATTCACAATTAAAATGGCTTTAAATAGCTTAAAAAATGTCCAAAATATTTTTAAAGTTGTATCATTTATAGAAAATGTTATTTATATTTTGTTTTATATGAAAATATAATAAAATATGAAATATTTTTTAGAGAGTATGATGTTGTATATCATGTCCGAGTATCTACAGATTTAAAGATATTTACTGGATTGTGGTATACAGTTCAATGTCGTGGACCTTATAACCAAGCTACATTTACTCACCGTGATGATATTATAGACCGTCCTGATATGATTGTCTTAGCATTTGATATTGAAACCACAAAACTTCCACTTAAATTTCCAGATGCAAATACTGATCAAATTATGATGATTTCATATATGATTGATGGTCAAGGATATTTAATTAATAATCGAGAAATTATATCTGCAGATGTTGTTGATTTTGAGTATACACCAACACCAGAATTTGAAGGTAATTCATTGGCTTCACTATAAATACTGATATGAATTTTAATACTTGTACATTTTAGGTTTATTCACTGTTTTTAATGAACCTGATGAAGCTGCTTTAATTAATCGATTTTTTGAGCACATCATGGAAATCTGCCCTCATATAATTGTAACATACAATGGTGACTTTTTTGATTGGCCATTTTTGGAAACTCGAGCAGCAGTTCATGATTTAAATATGTTACAAGAAATAGGATTTTCTAAAAATTCAACAGGAGTTTATAGTTGTCGACCAGCTATGCATATGGATTGTTTATGGTAAGAAACATTAAATTTATGTTTATTTAAATGTGGGTAAACTATATATTTTTTTATATTATTTTTAAACATGAATAATATCTTAAAATAAGATTAGGTTAGATTAAACAAGGTTTATAAAATTTAAAATTATAATATATGTAGAAATAAAGTATCAAATGTTTTTACTAAAAGTTAAAATATTTATCACATCAATATTGATATGTCATTATTTTAATGTTTAAAAACAAGATTAAGATATTCAAGATTAGATTCAACTCTACTTTTTAGTCTATCAAAAATACTTAAAAGTATTTTTGTAGGAGTATATTAGTAATTTTTTATTGCTTTATAAAGCTATATATTTTTTTAAATGTTAAATGTTTATTATTTTAATTTTTCAGTTGGGTAAAACGAGATTCTTATCTTCCAGTAGGATCACAAAATTTAAAAGCTGTTGCTAAAGCCAAATTACGTTATGACCCAGTTGAGCTTGATCCAGAAGATATGTGTCGACTAGCTACAGATGAACCTCAAGTACTTTCTAATTATTCAGTATCAGATGCCGTTGCTACTTATTATTTATACATGAAATATGTTCATCCTTTCATATTTGCTTTGTGTACAATTATCCCTATGGAGCCTGACGAGGTATGGATTTTAATAAATATTGCATTTATATATAATCATAGTTAAGACTTTATTTAGCTTCTAAAAACATTCTAATCTATTTAATCTTAATTAGCACAATAACCTTTTAGTTCAGATAATAAACAGGGTCTGCGACAGCATTCATCGATGATAGTTCTTTTAGTAGAGCGTACCATACGTGTGGGCATAAATAACATTCCTTCTTGACTTGTTTGGTATGGGTAGTCAATATCATTATAGTCTTCTAGAGCTTTGGAATCCCATACATCTGAATCTATTAACAAAATATTAAATATTTATTATTTTAATAATCAATTTTGGAATGTAATAAATAAATAATTTTTTCCTCTGTTACAGTTTTATTAGAAAAAATTATTTTAAAATGTTTTATAATCCTCTCAGTAAACTAAAAATAAATGTTTATAATAATACTGTTAATTGTCAAAATCTTTCACTTAAAAAAAAAAAAAAAAATCATTTTTTATTGATATGGCTTTTACATTTTGAGTTACAAGACATTATTTAAGTTTATCTAAAGGATTCTAAATAGTTATTTATCATTTGATTTGATAATAGAATTAACCAATACTTTTTGAAATATTATTATTAATATTATTATTGTTATTAATATTTTGACAACAATAGAATAGTAACATTTAAAAATATTTTTAAGTGCATTACAATAAGTTAAAATGTATTTATAAGTTATTAGTAATATTTTACATATTATGTATTTAAATTTCTATGTTTAAAACTCAAATATTCTAGAATTTAATTAATTAATTGACAATTATATAATGTTTTAATTTATTTTGATATATTTTATTTTATTAAAAACTTGGAATTTTGTACGTATGTACAATTACTTATAAATACTTTAAATTTTCATTAAAAACAATGACTTCGTTTTATTTTATTTAGTTACTTATTATTCCTATAGGTTAGTTTAAAATGCTATGTTTGTATACATATTATATAGACTTACCAATTTCATTTCGTTTTCGCCCATGTGATGGTCCATTGTACTTGTTTTTACATACAATTTGCATTATGTTTGCCAAACTAGAACCACAATACTGTTGTGGTGGTAGTTGTAGGTTAGCATTAGTTATTACAATTTTGATTACTAAAGTCAAGAGGAGTAAACTCAAATATACACTGATTTTCATTTTGTTCTAAAATGGTATCAATAACAAAAACAAAATTAATTTAAAAAAAGTTATAGTTACATTTAAAAAAAACTAACTAACAATTATATACAATTTTTACATATCAAACTAAAGTATTATATTATCCTTTAGTTTGATATGTTGACATGTATTTTGTTTTTGAGTATCATAGGTATTATTATAATACTTATAATACTCTACGGTTTAACATTAAAAAAAAAAATTACATACCTTGAATGAATGTTTAAATTAGTGTAGATATGGTTAGCAGAAAGGTGATGAACTGATTATTATTAACAGTTGTTGGTCTTATATATAAGGATTTTGTCCCTATTTTAAATTAACATAGAAGTTTTAAGTAAATATTCAATAGTTTTAAATAATTAAAATGCATCAAATAACATTAAGGTGATGATTGAACAAGGGTTAAGATTATTAAATTATTGAGAGAAAATTAATTTAATTTTTTGATTGACATATATGAAATAATGTTATTAAATTTTCCCATTACTCAATTACAATCTCTAAAGGCAAATAACAAAATATTAATAACATGTCAAAGTGTCATGTGTCTTCTGTTGTAACAGTTGAATTTTAGTAAATTATTCAATATGTTTTTATTATAAGTACATTTTCACTACTTATTTATAGGAAAATTGCTAGAAAATGAACAGTTATGGCTAGATTTTGATAATTTTTATCATAATTATTATTTAAGAATATTTTATTAGAATGTGTATTTTACACATTGCTATACTATTACTGTTTATATTATTCATCAACCATTTCATTTGGCATATCTGTTGAAATATTATCAAGATATTATTATTAATAAGCTAAAATAACTGATTTTGTTTTAAATAATAATGAATATAGACACATTCATCCATATTAATAATATAACTTTATATATATATATTTTTTTTGTTATTGTTAGTTTTTTCATAGTAGTTTCTGTTTAAAGGTTCTACTGTATACTGCATTATCATATTTTAACACTCAAAACTATTTAATTTTTCATTTATCTGTGTTAGATTTTATAAGTTATAACTTATAACAATGTTGATTATTCCAACACAAGTGTGTGTGTTAGTTCTAATTTAGCAAATTAATGCTAATGAAACAAAAGATTTAATTTCAATGTTATACTTTAAAGTTATAGTTTTTTAATTTATACAAATAGAAAAGTTCAGAAGTAAAACTAATAAGTAATAAGCTGTCTTTTATTTATTTATTTATTTAAATATTGATTTAAACTAACATTTAGTACTTAAAATACACATTGTTATTTATTATTGGTTAAATTATTAAATACATTTTTAATCTAATCAATATATTATATAAAAAACTTTGACTAATAATTTTACTTTTAGAAAATGTATTTATGTTAGATATATAAATTTTAGGTTTTAAGAAAAGGTTCTGGAACTTTATGTGAAAGTCTTTTGATGGTAGAAGCATTTCATGCAAATATTATCTTTCCAAATAAACAAGAACAAGAATTAAATAAACTAAGTGATGATGGGCATGTGTTAGATCAAGAGACTTATGTTGGTGGTCATGTGGAAGCTTTAGAATCTGGTGTATTCCGAGCTGACATACCTTGTAGATTTAGACTAGATACATCAGCTTTTGATATGCTCATTGAAAAATCATCTGAAATATTTAGATTTGCAATTGAAGAAGAAGAAAAAGTCCCTATGGATAGTGTGACAAATTTAAATGAAATATTAAAAGATGTTGTTAAAAAGTTGGAAGCCCTAAAAGCAGATCCTTATCCATTATTGAAACCATTAATATATCATTTAGATGTTGGTGCTATGTATCCCAATATTATACTTACAAATCGATTACAGCCCTCGGCTATGGTCAATGAAGAAATTTGTGCTGCTTGCGATTTTAATATTCCAGGTGCTAAATGCCAAAGAACTATGACTTGGCAGTGGAGAGGAGAACTTAGTATGTTATAATCTATTGTTAAACTGTATAATGATCATTAATCGACTTATTTTATTTTTAGTGCCTGCCTCAAGAACCGAGTTCCAACGTATTCAACAGCAATTAGAAACTGAAAAGTTCCCTGGTCAATTTCCTAATGATCCTCCTAGAGCTTTTCACCAACTAAGGCGAGATGAAAGAGCGACTTGGGAAAAGAAACGTTTGACAGAATATTGTCGGAAAGTATATAAAAAAACTCATATAACCAAAATTGAAGAACGTTCTACTACTATTTGTCAGAAAGAAAATTCTTTTTACGTTGATACAGTACGAGCATTCAGAGATAGACGTTATGAGTATAAAGGGCTGTGTAAAGTTGCTAAAAAACAAATATCTGAGGCAATAGCAAATGGTGATCCTGTTGAAATCAAATCAGCTAAAAACCGTGAAATATTATATGATTCACTACAGTTAGCACACAAGTGTATCCTTAACTCATTTTATGGTTATGTCATGAGAAAAGGGTAATTAGTTATTTATAATAATTCACTAATATAACATAAGGCTTTCATTTTAGTATTTTTAAATAGTTTTTATAATAATTTTTACACTTTTAACATTTAAAAAAATATATTTTTTATTGATTATAATCTTATATATTATATTAAAATATTAATTTTCAAATGAGAATAATTCTCTTTTCTCTATAATCAAATTCTGAAATAAGTTTCCTTTATAAATTTTATTTTAAGCTACATAATTAAATAATTTTGTTTAAAAATTATTTATATTGTTTCATTTATAGTGCACGTTGGCATAGTATGGAAATGGCTGGAATAGTGTGTTGTACTGGTGCTGCTATAATTACAAAAGCTCGTGAAATAATTGAAAAAATTGGTCGTCCTTTAGAATTAGATACTGATGGTATATGGTGTATACTTCCATCAACATTTCCTGAAAATTATAATGTTGAATCAACACATGCAAAAAAATCTAAATTTACTGTATCTTTTCCAAATGCAGTTTTAAACTCAATGGTCAAAGTTAGTGGAATAAATTATCTTATAATTATATTTACTTAATTTATAGAAAATAAGCTCAAGTTTTTTCCAGGATCATTTCACCAATCATATTTATCATGATTTAGTAGATTCAAAAAATCTAATTTATGAACAGAGAAGTGAAAATTCTATTTTCTTTGAAGTTGATGGTCCCTATTTAGCAATGGTCTTACCAGCTTCTAAAGAAGAAGGAAAAAAACTTAAAAAGCGTTATGCTGTGTTCAATTTAGATAAATCATTGGCAGAATTAAAAGGGTATATAAGACTTAAAAATTTAAAACTTTTTAAATGAGCTTCTAACTTTTAATAGATTTGAAGTTAAAAGAAGGGGAGAACTTCAAATTATTAAGATTTTTCAATCATCAGTGTTCGAAGCTTTCTTAAAAGGTGATACATTAGAAAAATGTTATGAAAGTGTTGCAACTGTTGCTAATTATTGGCTAGATGTTTTATACTCCAAAGTAAGCATAAAATAATTCAACTTAAAAATTTTAATTGAATAAAAAAATCTAAAAAAATGTTTTGTCATAGGGTAAAAACATGCCAGATTCTGAACTTTTTGAACTGATATCAGAAAATCGTTCTATGAGCCGTAAACTTGAAGACTATGGAGCTCAAAAATCAACATCTATATCTACAGCTAAACGTTTAGCTGAATTTTTAGGTGATCAAATGGTAAAAGACAAAGGACTTGCTTGTCGTTTTATAATATCCAAAAAACCTGAAGGTACTCCAGTTACACAAAGAGCTATACCATTAGCTATATTTCAATCTGAGTTAAGTGTGAAGAGACATTATTTAAGAAGATGGCTTGGCGACCATTCAATCGATGATATTGATATCCGTGATGTTCTTGATTGGGATTACTATATAGAACGTTTAAGTGGTACAATTCAGAAAATCATTACTATTCCAGCTACTTTACAGGGAGTAAGTGATGTTTTGTTGCTCTATAAAATTTAATTAAATCTACAAATAATCAAAATTATTTATTAAATTGGTATTAGGTTGCTAATCCAGTTCCAAGAGTTAAACATCCTGATTGGTTACATAAAAAAATGTTGATGAAAGCTGATCCATTAAAGCAAAGAAAAATTACAACTATGTTTCAAGCAGCGCCAATGCATGTGCAAGAAAATTCAACTGAACAAGATGCACTTCAAGATATAGAAGATTTTGGAGAAAATGAAGATAATAATCATATACACATAAAACCAAGACCAATGGTAACCAAAAAGCGTAAACGCGATCCTTCACCAATTGATGCTAGAAACTGGAAGGAAGCTTTAGGACCTCCACCTCCAGCTAGTGATATACAGGTTAGTATTCATTTTAAACATAATACTGATTATTTTTTCTAAGTATAGTTACATTTGAAAACAGTATTATTTAAACATTTTATTTGTTTAATTAGGTTATAAATTATGACAATAAAAAATGTAAAAAAATTCAAATTATTTTTACTAATTTATAATTAAATATAATATTTTTAGAATTGGATCTTATATCAAAAGAAAAAATGGAATTGGCAACTTGAAATGAGAGCTAAATTAATTGGTAAACATGGTAAACGTTTACGAGATGATCAAATCCATATTCCTAAAGGGCGAGCTGGTACACTAGGGGGATTTTTAAGACGTGCACAGCAAACATTACTGAGTCAACCCTGGCAAATTATACAAGTGTGTCAATCTGGTGAACCCGGGGTTCTAAAACTTTGGGCCATGGTTGGAGATGAGTTGCACAATATTCGAATGAATATACCCAGGTTTTTTTATGTAAACCAGAGACAAATCGAGATTGATGACAGTGAAAAATATATTTCTTGTATTAAAGTGAACATGATATTGCCTAGGGCTAGACCAGTTTTAAACTTATACCAGTACACAGTTTTGGAAAAAGATTTTGGTGAAACCAAAGAGTAGGTGAATTTTATGTTCTGGTCTTAAATTTATTTTAAACTAAATATTTTTTTAGTAATTTTATGTGCAACCTATCTAAACCTGGTGTTGAAGGAATATATGAAACTAAAGTTACACCAGAATTGAGGGCTTTATTAAACCTTGGATGTATGTGTTCTGTTACTTTGGAAGCAGCAAAAAAAATGGCTGCATTGCCAGATCTTGGAAATTTTTCATTGGAACAAATGAAACAAGTGTCTCATAAATATTTAACCAACGTTTGTATAGTTTTTATCTTCATTAAATCAAATTAATATATCTTAATTGATAATAAATTTATTTTATTAATTTATTTATAGAGTTCTTTAAAAGATATATTTTTGTACTGCAATAAAGCGCCAACTGGTTTACGTGCCATGTATGCACTGTTTCTAACTCCTAATAAAAAAGCATTTGTTTGGGTCACAGATACAGTTCGTACAAATCGAATGGCAAATTTAAACACTTTGTATAACAAAGAACGTAATAACAAGTAATAATTTTGAAAATAATTGATTTAAAGTTTTTTATTTAATTGATTTGTTGTTTTTTTTTTCACGTCTTAAGAATTTCTCGTGGACACAGTGAATCAAGTATTCCTTCAGCTGATATAACTTTTGAAGTTAGAATAGAAACAGAAGAAAGGCAAGTTTACAGACAAATACAGAGAACTCTTCAATCATATAGGGATGAAAAACGAGGACCTACAATGCTTGTAGTTCAGTCCCCAATAGGTAATAAAAAAAAACCAATGAAATGATTTATTATTAAATCATTAATTTTGTGTTCAAATTTAGATAGTGAAGTATTGTTATCCAATATTCCAATAATGACTGAATTCCCAGTGGTTACTCTCCACGTACAAGACTCTACTGCTTCTATGTATGCTCAAATGGAATGGCAACGTTTAGGGTGCAGCTTGATTGTTAACCACTATCTAAATAGTTCAGAGAACATAAATATTATGTTAGAGCAATGCAGATACTTACAAATACCTCTTGGAAATTTACCAGCGGATGTAACATTATTTGCATCAGATATTTTCTTTGCTAGACATTTGATGAAACACAATTTTGTACTATGGATTTCAGAAACTGATAAACCTGATTTAGGTGGTCGTGAAACAGACGATAATAGGTAATCAACTCTATTTGTAAGAGTAATTTAATGTGATAAAGCATAGTTAGCATTTTCTTATTACCTTTATTTATTACTAATTATTATTGTTTTTTAATAGAATGTTAATGGACTCTGAAGAAAGTTCAAGTATGCTTGTCAATAATGAAGGCTGTTATACTTCCTATTGTATAGAACTTGAAATTGATGCCTTACCTGTCACAACACTATTACAGTCACATCATATTCATGATTTTGAAGGTATATAATAACTTATTATTAATAAATAATCAAAAAATTATTCATATTTTTTGTTTAATAAAGAAGAAACAGATACATAAATGCATTAACATTTATTTATTTATTTTAAAGCCTTATTTAAATTATATTCATGTGATTAAACATTATTTATCAATATGTTTTAGGTACAAGTGCTGGTGTTGCATTTGATCAAATACCTCAAGCTTCTCTTGAAGAAATAATGGATGGTGGAATGTATGTAACACCAACTTATGATGAAATAGCATTGTGTTCAGCTGCTTTTCGAGTTTTACGATCCATGGTAAATGTTTGGTTTCGTGATGTTGTACTGCACAAAAATCAATTTGCTGATTTTCAAATGGTACATTTTTATAGGTAATAAAAATATAATCATACATATCCAACCACTATACTAGTTATTAAACAAATAGCTGAATTTTTATATTAATGAGCAATGAATGAGTTATCATTTTTTAATTATTCTTCAGGTGGCTGAGATCACCAAATGCATTATTATATGATCCTGCTTTACGCAAAACACTTTACAGTTTGATGAGAAAACTGTTTATGCAAGTATGTACTATATTGTTGTAAACATTTTATTTTTTAATTATAAGATAATATAACTAATACTTGTTTTAATTACTATTGTTTTATACAGTTAATTGCAGAATTTAAACGACTTGGTTCTACTATAATATTTGCCAACTTCAATAAAATAGTCATTTGTACAAAAAAAAAATCACTTGAAGATGCAATTTTTTATGTGCGTTATGTTGTGCAAAACATTACCAATAAAGAATTGTTTCACAGTTTACAAATATCATTAGGACCATGTTGGGAATATTTAATGTGGCTAGATTTGGTAAAGTCAATTTGTTTAACCATTGTTAATATTATTTAACATTATAACTTTTTTTAACATTTTTAATAGTGGAATTATTCTGGAGTAAAAGCCAAGTTTTCTGATAAATTAAAAGAAGCAATGAGTGATATAATTGATATGTCAAATGAAGATGTTGAACATCTTCTTAAAGAGCACAAAGCACCAGGACCTGATATTGAAGAAGTAATTTTGATTTGAAAAAAAAAAAATTCATCTATTATGTATCATACATTTTTAGGTGGGAATTGAAATGAATTGGAATATATCTGAATTTTTACCCAATGTTTGTCATGCTCGCAAACATTTTGAAGAAACAATAGTAGTTTACATGAGTGCAATTTATAAACACATGCGATCAATTGATTCTGTGTCATTGAAACGTATATCAGAATCATTATCACAAGTTACCCAAAGTAACATGTTAGGTGTTGCATCTTGTGAAGGTGTAGCAGAATATGCAAAAACTATAATTTCAGATGAACTTACAACAAGATTATTCTCGTAAATAAAATTCATTTATTAAGTTATAATTCCTTGTTTAATTCAATAATAATTATATAATAATGTTTTAAATAGAATAACACAAAAAATTTATAAAAAATATCCAGTGCTAGATGTAGAACTCCAAGAAACACTTTCACCATTCTTGCAAAATAAAGGAAAACATTTAAATCCAGCTCTGCAATTTGTAAAGACTGTTTGCAAAGTGAGTTATTTTGTTTTAGAAGTATTTAATTCAAATTAATTAATGTGTCAAATGTATCATTTAAGGTGCTTTCACTGGATTATGGAATTGAAGATGATATAATAAAACTAAGAAAAAATCTTTTACGCTTAATTGGTATTGGTAATTTTAGTGATGAAGCTGAATGGACAGACCCATGTCTCTCTTGGACATTACCTGAAGTAATCTGTAAAAGTTGTAATCATTGCCGAGACATAGATTTGTGTAAAGATTCTCATCGAAGTGTAGTAGATGGAAAGTATGTTAACTGTTTAAAATTAATACAAATAATATTAAATCAATAAATAGTTTTTAAAAAAGATGAGTACATAAATTTTTTTTTAGAAAAACATGGCTATGTCCTAATTGCAATAGTTGTTATGATAATATGCTAATTGAACATTTTTTAATCGATGCTCTTGGTAGAAAAGTAATGGCCTATACCCTACAAGATCTACAATGTACAAAATGTTCAGCAGTATGTATTTAATAAATATTATTAAAAATATTTTTTTAATTATTTCAGTACATTTTTTTAACAAAACTATTGTTTTACAGATAAAAATGGAAAATCTCAATACGTATTGTTCATGTGCTGGTAGTTACACAACAGTAATACCCAGGAATGATATGATGTCATACCTAAAGACATTCAAAGCAATTGCTGATTACTATGACATGACTCTTCTACAACAAATTTTAAAACAATATTTGGACTAAAACAGAATTATTCTCAATCTGTTAACTTGTACTTTTCATGCAGTCTGTGATTCAACAAAAAAAAAGTTTAATCGGAAAGATTTTAATATTAAAACATAATTTAATTTTTTTTTTAACTAAAACATCATTATTATTATTATTACTGAAAAAGACAAGTCTGAGTATTGTAAAATTATATTTTTATAATCATTTAATTATTTACTATCTTATAATTTGTGTGTTATTAATTTCCACCAATTTTTGAGTATTCACTTGTGTACATCCCAGGTACAGACAATAATTGAGATAAAGTTAAATTCCTTGAAATGGATATTGGCATTTCAACAGTATTCACTAATGTTGATGCATAAAATGGTATTTTATAAGAAGCTCTCATCTCAGATAAGAGAGCACTGAAAAAAATAAAACATTATCTATATAACAAATTAAATTTCAAATAAAATTTGTAAATTATATTTACTTGTGTGGAATGTGTTTTAAAGTATTTGGCAGTAAACGTATAGCATTTTTTCTATTGAATATTGGTTCATCATAAAATGGTTTGTATGCTGGTTTAATGTATTGTAATTTTGAATATTTAGAATTTAATTGTTTTGCTGTATCCTAATGTTTTATTTTTATAAAATTTTTAATTATAAATCAATTTATATTATTTTCTACTATTCTGTTAATTTTAATTGTTAATAAAATATTTGAGACTTGACACTTACTGGATTTATTTTAATGTAATCTAATTTCTGAGTACTAACATATGGGTCTACTTTTCTAATTGCTCCAGCATCACTAACTTTTAGTGTTAGCATTGTGTCAAGACGTTTTTCAGCAATTGGTGTTTGACCCTGTTTTTAAATAATAATTCAATTATAATGCCAAATTGCACAAAAAAATTGATTCATTAAATGGTTTACTAGAATTGAAAGGCTAATCACGTTTAAGTGACTATTAGACTACTTTTCAATTCATTAAATGTTTAGTAAGTATGTTTATGTAACCTGGTGTTAACATATCATTTAAATGTCACTCTTACGCAAATCGTTTTTGGTAATTGTTCGATGTTCGACATCAATTTTGGTTGCATGTATTTATCATTGTACTCAGTTGATGGTATGTACATCGGTTTTGAAGGATTTGACTGATACTGCATTAAAAATTATAGTATATTTTCAAACATTAAAGATGATTGATAGATTATTATATTATGTACTTTTTCCAAATGAGACATCATATACTGAATTTGGTCAATATTTAATTTCGTAGATTTCTGAATTGGATCTATTGCATTAATTTTAAAACCATGATGAATGTTTGTCGACGTGTCATAATTCCATTGTTTTAACTCTGGAATATTGGATTTTGATTCAATTCCAGGGTCCAGTGACGATACCTTAAAAAAGAATGAAAATTAAATGATTTATTGACTCTCTTGAAATATTTTCTCGTTAAGTCGTTAACAGTGGCAGTGCGTCAGAAATTTTAGATAAATTGTCCAAAACAAAAAATTGGCACGTAAGTTGGTGGTTACAAGCTTAGTGGGTACTGATACAGTTAAAAATTGTCATTTGTCAATGAATGACTTACGTTTTATTTTTTAACTATATTTCAGTACCTACGAGTATTTCAGGAATATGCCTATGCCGTATGGGTTGATAAAATGTGACTGCTCTATGAATAAAAATTGTGTTTACGTGTCGCTGTTCATTAATAATATAGTAATAAATTATTCTTATTCATTTAATTGTGATCAAAACCAATTATTGTTAAAAATAACTTTCATAATTCGATACATCAAGATTATGAGATACCTATTATAATATTTAAAAATTAACAATTTAATCGCTCTTACGTTGCTCTCGAACGGTACGTTGGGTATCAATTCATGACCCGCTTTGTAAGATGTCATATAATTATTATTATTATTATTCTTAGCGTTCATTGTGAAAATAATGTTAAATTTGTATTTGTTTTTATATTTTCTGATCATCCAAGTTGTGAGCAAACAAACAAACAAAAAAAAGTAAGCAATTTACGTTCACTAGGTAATTGACTTTTAATTTTTACATTAAATAGGTAGGTAAGTGATAAAAAATAAAAAACCCATGTATCCATGACAACCATAACCGTCCCTTACAAGTTACGGATTTTCACTTTTCCACGTGTCTTATAGGGTCTGCAGTTCTGCGTATTTGAAAAATTGGCGCAGAGGCATCCCCAGTTCAGAAAATAGTACCTCCCCTTCAAAAAAAATGCAGACGAAGTTCTCCACGAGTCGGTACATATGTATCCTTAGAAGGGCTACAACCCCCCCGCCCCCCCCTAAAAAAAAAATTTGACCACCCAACGCCTATGGACTAGTGATCAAATTTTAGGTAGGTAGCCATCCGTTTGGTCGTACTCATCCAGATTTTTATTAAAATTAGTCACTAAAAAATATCGTTGTTATATACGATTTTTGTAAAAAAAAAATTTCTGTTTATCAAAACGGTTTAGTCAATAGTTAGAACGAATTGGCTTGTAAATAAATTTTTAATTAATTTATACTCACTATGGAGCATATCCTTCATATTTTTGAATTTGCGTGCAAAAATGATTTATACTACTACAGTGTACATAATGTATATTATCAATAAAAATTTATCTTTTCAATATTTTTGATGAAAAACTGATTTTCACTCGACAACATGAACCCTGATATAAAAATTTGAATTTAATAGAGTTTAATTATTATGTTTTTATTTTTACATGTAAATAAATAAAATTGTAACAACTAGATAAAAATATTCAATAACCAATTTATACAGTTAAAAAAAATCCAAAATAATAATAACATTATTCAAATTTGTTTGTATGCCATGGTCTCTCAAAATATGTTAAAATAGTTTTACATAAATTTTAAATCTCGTCTTATTCCATTTACAACTATTTATTTTATTAAAAAATATCTTGAACAAATGATGTAACAGCTATAATAATTAATAAATAATTCATTATAGTTATAAAGAAAATGTCAAATAAAATTTATTTAAAAAAAACTTTACATAAATACAATAAAAATGAGCAAATGTATAAAAAAAATATTTAAGATGTATAATTAATTAATTTTTTGTTTTTTAAAAATTTTAATTTTATTTGCATGTTTATTTCCTGACAATCTATTTCGTTTTCTAGACTTTATTTTATTTATAACTAGGTCTTCTGGTTCTGGTTTACGACTCATAACACAGCCGGGTCTTTCCACAAGCTCCTCGATTGAATCGCTAAAATAAAATAATTTATTATTAAAGTTATCATTTAAATGATACAGTATTTAATATTTATGTACCTTTGACTATTTTCTAACAAATTATTATTTAAATATTCAGGTAATTCAAAATTTGGAAGCCATTTAGTTTCAGAAATTTTTAATTGATTCACTAAAGGTCTAAAATTTTCATAGGATCGTGAAAATGATTTGTGTAACGATTTAGTAAGTATCCACACTCTGCTAACCATAGCAAGTGCAAGGTTCATTTCTAACCAACATTGACCATTCTGGAACACTTTCACTATCAATTGAGCTGTTCCTTCACTGAATAGCTGTAACTGATTGATCAGACTTAAAGCTGCTAAAATACGAGCACCGACCCATTGACAAGCTTGTTTTGTTGGCATACCATTATCAAATGTTGAGAGTAAATTTAATATAACTTCAGAGATGTTTAGTTGATAGAGTTTTTTTATAGAAACAGTGATCTAAATTATTACAAAATATACTGAGTAATAATTACATTTATATCTAGTTAGTGTTTTTGAGACAATTACTTGTTTAAGGCGTCTAAAAAGCTTCTCTCCGCGAAATTTTTTTTTTACTTTACAGCACATTCTAGAAATCAGAGCACCTTCATCAAATAGTTTCTTTAGATCATTAATAGTTTGATTCGTGATAATATTTTTACACTTATTATGTAAGTTGTCTAATTTTTCTGAAAAATAAAATATCATTAAAAAAATTTAACAATTAAAAGATCAAGAATTTATAGACATTATTATGAATTAAAATATCAAATTATAATATAGTATTTTACATATAAATCAATTAAATTAAATCAATTACTATTTAATCTATTGTTATAATTTTTATATTTTAATATTATTATATTTAATAAAAAATTAACAATTTGATACTTAATCATATCAAGATTGCCTAAATAAAATAATATTTTGAGCAAATTGAAATTTTGTTCTGCATTTTAACAAAATTACTGTTATAGTGTTACTGCATAAGGAGAATATTACGAGAGTGCAGGTGGTCATAATAATAGGATGGTAGCTGTTCAAGCACCATGAACAAGAAGCAGTGTTAGTTTTTATGAGTCTTTTTGTAATATATCTTAGGTACACTAAAAGCATTTATAATCGTATAAAAACAAAAATAAATAAATACTACAAAGTGCTCCAGTTTTTAGTAATTTTCAACTGAAAAGGCCTTAGTAGTGAATCAAAGTTAATAAGTACAAAGTTTAAAAAAAAAATGTCTAAAATACTTCGATTATTATTGGCACAAAATTAAGATTTCACTAATTAAATAATGATTAATGTGGACGATGGGCCATAGAAAAAAGATTAGGCGTCATTGACTATATTCTAACCTTTGCTGATGGTAGCTTGAAGTTTCATTTGCTTTGGTTTGGGAAGATCTACCCGATAACAACAATTTAACATTATTAATATTATTATAAAAAAAAATAGGTAGTGTTGGGTTCTAAAACTGAGAACTGAGACACTGTCAACTAATGTAATTAGAAGAGAAATGAGAAAATAACTACATACAAGTAAATACTTTATACTATTGAAGTTAATAGTTATTAGTTTTTACTGCCAAAGTGCCAAGTGCTAACAGCTATCCGATTTTAAAAACCATTATCTAATATCTTCTGATATCATATTATCATGAACCATAGTATATCACGTGGTATCCAACTTTTATTTAATCTTGTAATTTCATTTTTTTTCGCTCCAATTTGTATCATTCGACTTTTGTTCAACAAAACATTTGTTCCAAACGTTAATGTGTTTAGAGTTTAGACCACGATTTAAGATAGTATTTTCAATCTTATATCTATTCCGTCTTCCGTGATTAAGACATTAATTTTTAAATGACTATTCTCAACTCTGTGGTTATATTATTAATTATAACCATGATAACCTGTTAACCATTTGATGTTTACAAATTACAATTTTAAATATTAATAAATAATAATAATAATTGATTAAGGTATTTTGGTGGTTAAATAATTGATGTTTTATGTTTATCACAGTTTTGGTTAATTCAAAATTCATTCATCACCGTTTTAATGTCTACTAGTTTAAATTATCCACAGAATTTTCATTCATTTATATAGGCGACTTAATTCGTAACATTATAACATTCTGTGCTCGTTTTATCTGTCTCAAACAACATGTCTAATGTAAGTATAGTCATATCACCAATGTTACACATTTTTAATTTTTTGAATGACACACATTATATTCTTATATTAATTAATAGTTGTGTTTTTAAATGATCTGTAACTTTAAAATTGAAACATTATTTTCATTATTCATCAATAAAGTACTTATGAATAAAATTATTTTATAGGATATAAGATCATATATGATAAATAGCTCAAGCAACAAAAAGAAAGACTTAAATAAAACAATATCACCAAGTCAAAAACCAAAATCATCAAAAAAAAAGTATGTAATATCAAGTGATGATGAAGATGATACAGTACCTCCTACACCAGTAGACAAAACAAAACAAAAATTACCTGAAAAACGAAAACTCATCAACCCAGCAGATGTTTTTGGTTCAGAACCAGTAAAACAAACTACTATTAATGTGATTAAACAAAAAAAAAAAAATCAGGTGAGTATTTTATTTATAAGAATCTTTTTAAAAATCTATATTGTAAGAAAACGTATTATAATATTTTTTTTTTAATATTATTAACCATGGTCCACAGTCATTAATAATCATTAATTTCAAAATAAATTCTTTACACATATTGTAGTTAAAATAGGTTTATAATTGAAAGTATATTTTTCAACTATTGTTTTATTTTCTACTTTTAAACTTAATTCTCATTTGATTTACTTTATAGTATTTTTACTATTATTTATTTATTTTTTATCAATACTCAGGTATATTATTAGCTTTAAAGTAGATTATTTTTCTAAAAATTTAATATATTTGCTATAAATTATTATAGTTTAAATGTTCATGTTTAATTTAAATAAAGTATTGTTTTTTTGTTTTTATTATTATTTTTAATAGTACAGTAAGTCCTTGTTTAACGTCGAGGTTAGGTTCCTGGAAAACACAACATTAACCAAAAAAATGTTAAGTAAAACACTTTTTAAGTTACATACTTTTATATGAAATTTATATAAATATAACAATAATTTGATGAATACATGTATTGCAAATGACGTTATACTTAAACCGTTACAGTGTTAAACAAAACATAAGGACTTAAACTTTTATGGCGCAATAGCGAAACAATGCTAAATGAGGCAATGTTAAATGAAGACTTACTGTACTTAAATTTGAAATTAATAAATTAAATAATGTATTTTTCATTATTCAGGTCGAACTAATAGAACAAGATTTTGATTTTGAATGGGGAGAATTAGACAACATTGAAAAACAATTCAATGACTCAAAATCAAGTGATGTGGTTGTTTCTCCTAAAAAATCTCCAGCTATATCAAATAAAATTACACCAAAAAACTCTCCAGCTAAATCTAATATTCTCAGAACACCCATAGTTTCACCAATTGATAAGAAAAAAATTGATGTCTCGCCCAAATCATCACCTAAATCTATTTTAACTCATAATTCATCTCCAAAAAA